CGGGTCCCAGCGCCCACTGCCCCGGCGCTCCGCGCTCCGCTCCGGCGCCCACCGACGGCGCGGAGCCCAGCGCGCACCTATGGGCTCGTTACCAGGACATGCGGAGGCTGGTGCACGGTGGGTGAAGCCTGGAGCGGCCGAGCGCGGGTGGGGGGCGTCTCCCTAGCGGCGGCTGGCCGCCTCCGAGCCATCCTGGACGCCGCTTCGGTGGAAGCGCCCGGTGAGGTTCACCACGGTCCCGAAGCCGGGAGGCCTTTTGGAAAAGGCTCCAGAGGGGCGTCCAGAGCCTCCGCAGACGTTCTTGATGCCCGGGGAGGTTTGTGCCCGGACTTGATCTGCAGGATCTTGGAGCACACGTCGGTGTGTGCTGCCCCTGCCGACTCCCGCGTCCTCTCTGCGGGGCAGCGGCGGAAACGCTCCAACCCCTTGTTCTCCGCCGGCCCTTGTTAGACTAGAAGTGCTGTGGACAAAGCCGGCACATAACGCTCGGCTACTAGGGGGCCACTGGACCTAAGGGAACATCAGCGGGATTTTCAGGCCCTTCACTTGTTTCTGAAGCTCGGGGTGCACGCTCAGCAAGGGTGGGAATGCATCAGAGGAACTGAGTCACCCACGTGATGGTGGACAGATGGGGCCCCAAGGGACTCCAGGGAGGGTGTAGGACTCATCTGTCCATTTGTCTAGGTAGGTCTAATGAGTCTGTCAGGCAGGGTAGACTTCAGCAAGCCTTACTCTTCGTTCTCCACCGTCCTTAGGCATAAAACAATCTTGGATCCCCTGTCAGAGGGTTGCGGCCGTGACTCAGAACTAGGTCAAGAAGGGGTTGGGGAGCTCCTGCAGGAGCCCCCAAGGGTGACGTGGCTTCTATTGTCTGGTAAGACAAAAGTGGCCCTGGCTAGAGATTACAACTGCCTGGACAGGGACTTCCACACGAGCTGTGTGAAAGCTCTGGGAGGCCAGAGCTCACCTCCTGAAAGCTGAAGACAGGGTCTCTGAGGAATGGCGATTCAGAAGCCCTTTGGGCCTGAATTAAATTTGTCTCCATGGAAGGACAGGCTAGACTGCTGTTTAAGAAGTTTGTTTTGTTTTTGGTGCTGATCCTAGGGCTTGAACTCAGGGCCTGGGTGCTGTCCCTGAGCTTCTTTTGCTTAAGGCTAGCACTGCACCACTTGAGCCGCAGCATTACCTTTGGCTTGTGTTCTTAGTAGCTTATCAGAGATAAGAGTTTTATGGCCTTTCCTGACTGGCTGGCTTTGAACCTCCTGAGTAGCTAGGTGTATAGGCATGAGGCACCAATGCCCAGCTTATTTAGGAAGTCTTTATGCTCCTGGAAAAAGCTTTCTGAGTTACTTTGGAGATGAGAGGAGAGGGCCTGCCTGTATCTTCAGATCCTTATAGACCCCATAAGTTCCTCTTGTGCAAGGTCATTTCCACCAACATGCCATAGTGAACAAGGTGAGCCTACTACCTGGGTCTAGGCCTCCATCTGGCTAGATTTTCTAGAGAGGTGTCTCACCATTGAAATGTATCTTGGCCAACACTTTGCCAGTGATGCCAGGCTCAGCCCAGCCCAGCTTCCCACCCTGAAAGCAATGCAGCAGAGCCATCACTTCCCATCTTAGCTGGCTTCAGTAGGTTACTCTGGAAAGCCAGGCCCAGGGGAGAGTGATGAAGTCAGTGACCAGGGTGCCTTGAAGCTATTTCTTCCTCTGGGCCCTGAAGAAATAAATGACTACCTCCCAGGAAAGATGAGGATTGAACAAGATGAGCCTACAAGACTCCCACAAGTGAGTCTCAGGGCTGCCAGGGACAACTTGGTCCCAGAACTTGGAGCCTTAGGCACATGAGAAGCTGAGGGGGAGGAATGTAGAGACTGAACAATACTAGGTTGGGCACATCCTTTCCTGGCCCTTCCCCACACTGTGGAAGGATATAAGACCCTGCAGCCCCCAGAGGTATGGTTTGCTTAGTCCATAGACTGGGGGTTGAGGTGTGGCTGTAAGAGCCTGGCTTCGCCATCTTGCTTTGACCCTGGGAGGATTGTCTACCCCTGGGAACATTTCTCAAGGGCAGAGGCAAGGCCTGGACTCAGCCAGACTTCTGTGCCAGGAAGGGGCTGCACAGCCAAGTAGATGCCGCCTACCCCAGTGTTTCTGGGCACTGCAGCAGGAATCATAGTTACAGTTTGTATCTATAAATACAGGGTCATATAGAGGGCAAGGTCTAGCTAAGTGGGCAACTAAAGTTTCAGGTTAAAGTGCCCAAGAGGGCACTTTAGAAGCAGCTCTCTAGACATCTGCAGTCAGCTATGTCCCCTGCACATCTGAGTGAAGCACCCTGTCCATGGCCAGGGATCTGAAGAGCAGCTACTCTGCTGGCCTGCAGCCACCAGAGGAACCAGCCACACCTGTTCCCACACCCACACTCTGCACTTGACTCAAACTGAAGTGGTGAGGGGTGGAGCCCTGTGCTCCAAAGGGGCCTTGGAGGCAAATGCTCTGGGCACGGGCGCACGTAGGAGCATGAAGTATCTTTTCTGGAGTGCAGCAGCTGCCAGGCTTGCTGTGAGGCCAGGGACCTATGGTGTGGGTGAGAGCAATTCCCTGAAGGCTTGGACCCAAAGTCTAAGGTAGTATTCCTGGTGTCCAGTCCTACCTGCTTCCCTCCTGCAACCCCTGCTCCAGGAGTGACAGAGAGGCCAGGGACAGGGAACTTTGGCTTTAGCTCACATAGGTCCAGATGCAGAGCAGGGATACCACACTGAAGAAGTTGTTACAGGTTTTATTCTCCCCTTAGAGATGAAGAAACAGATCCAAGGGCTGAGGTGACATTCTTGAAGGCATCACCATGAGA